ACAGAAAATCTTAGGATTAGAGGGGTTTGAAGAAATCCTGCAAATCATCAGGGCTTTAAGAGCATCCAAATTTGTCAAATAAAGTTGGAAAAGAAAATTCAAATAAAGCTAAATTAATATTTCCCACTTCATCTGGGTGCCAAAAATTTTTACTATTCTTATATTAGTAAAAGTAGACCCAGTAGACCCAGTAAACCCACAAGACAGCCAACTTATGAAGTGTAATAAAAGGTGGATTAAAATGAGACACGCAAGTGAATTATTGACAGGATAAATTTCGAAAGATGTAGATTATTTCTCCCTGCTAGTCGAAAAATATTTGCAGAAAATTACTGATCAGACTAGGAAAAAATGTCAATGGGTTAGGCTAACTATCCCACCTTTAACATCATATTTTTGAATAGCGTATCCTCCAGGACCTCCTGTAGCTTCTTATTAATCTGAAGGCATAGGTCCATGGTGAGCTGTTCGTCAGCCTGGTGGCCAGTATAAAGCGAGGCCATAAGGCCTCCCTTACGTGCAATGTGGAGTTTGTTGGCATCCACTTTGGTAGGCGTAGCCGCACCCAGCAGCCGGTCTCCAGTGCTCACAAAGTAATGCTAGACAAGAGGTAAGTAAGAAAACAATATATGAATAGTAAAGTATTATGGTTTCAAATAAACTTTATGCGGCTTTGAAAGGCTTCAGATTGTGAGTCTAGCTCACCTATCCTTGACCTTCCATAGACAATTTCATCTAAGTATTTCGCTATTCCGACATCACTTTAGTCGTGTAGTGACGAATCTTAGCCTTTTCTCACTAAAACTATTACCCACGTTAACAAAATGGCGTTTAGCTTTTAACAATAGCTAATTGCACATAACGAACATTTATAAGAATCTCTAGCATTGACTTATGCATTGAGATAGTCGAATAATCACACTACGGTATCAGGTAAGGCTAATTCACGAATCATTTCAAGCCAACTTTTTCTTCGAAATGAAAAGTCGAGTGACATTAAATTATAAAGGGTTTCTTCGTAAACCAATTTTTCTTCATATATACCTCTCATCCTGACTCAAACATTGCGACTGTCGGCCAATCGAATTCCCTCGAGTCGCATACAAGCCTACCAGTGTACCTGCCAGACAGACCACTGAGCATTAATCGGACACTGAGGCACATCAAGCCATTGAGTACAAAGGGGAAATTCCTAGTCTAAATAACACAAATTTCAAACTACCGGCTTCAGCTTAATAAGGATGTCTGTACCCGCTCACATATACCTCTCATTTATACATAATTTTGTTTTCTACAAGATGCCAACAATACGATCACCTTGATTGGTGAATTCGGGTACCAGAACACAGCAACTCACAGAAAAATGTTTACATAATGAGATCACAACAGTCTCATAAACACTCAAGTTGACAAGGCAAGGCAGTTTCGCAAGCTAGCTTGCATTTTCACAAACACTTTTACAAGGGTTGTATAAACGCTGCTAAAGCACCGAGATCTTGAAGTAGATTAGTGAAAAATGTGACCCAAATAAATGCTGAATTCATCCCATCCAGTAGCATGAGGGTCACTTAGGGAATTAAGTAAAAAGTGTTTATCATTAATTAGTGGAAAAAGATGGGTGGAAAATGATCAGTGAAGATAATTAGTGGAAAAAGAGGCAAATAGCAGGCCAGTGTATATGACCCCATGAAAAATTTGCTGTCTGGAGTCTACAATAAGTTACTTTTGCTGAAAGATATATACAATGTAAGTCAGTGAAGTAGTAAAATCAGGAGATGAAGAGCTAACTCAGCTAAATGCAATGTCGCTTAAACACTTTTTATAAACCAAAATATGAGCAAATATTTGTACTGTCTATTTAACTCCACTCTCACCTCTTTTGACAAATGTATACATGGAAAAAATGGAAAAGGAATAAGTCATCGCTACAACCAATAGCCCTCATGCGATACCTGAATGAATACCTTGAATTTTGTTAGCATGGTAAGAAAATTAATAGTCCTTGAACTTTACGAGCAAATTTAAAGAAAGAATCATGTTCGAAATAGAGGGATGATGATGAATTGCTACCTTTCCTGGATGTCGAGGTCATTCACTCCAACAGGGCACTATTCAGAAAGAAATGGCATGCGAAATTCCATTCCGTCATAGCTACAAACTGAAGATCGCAATACAAAGAGGTCGATCAGCAGTAGCTTAAGGTTAACAGACATGAAGTTCTAGCTAAAATAATTGGACAAACTGATCGAAATTCGCCCAAATAATCAGCGCAGCGAAGAAATCATACAAATAAGTAAGGGTAATACAAAGTAAATTGACAATCTGGATAGTAAGAAGATAAAATGAGAAAGATGACTAAGAATAGATAAACCTGCTTACCTGTGAAGTGAGATACAAAAATGGAAAGATATTAGGAAAGTGGAATACCTAAGTGATCCCGAAGGAGGATACAGCACTATTCACTAGCTTGACGACGCAACATGAGAAGGGGGCAAAATGAATTGCTCTGGAATTTATCACATAACATTCAGCAACTATGAGCAGAAGTATATTGATAAAACAGAAAGTAAATCATTTGTTACGTTACAAGCTACTATTGCAGTAAAGGTTGGCTTGAGTGTACCTCTGACAGTATTCTTAAGTTGATAGTTTGAAAAGAGCACATTTAAATAAATATGAACTTTCAAAACGAAAAAATTAATGAATTACAAAATAAAAGTATAATGTCATTTTAAATCCTTCAGATTGAAGGACATGGTTATCTAAACACTTAAGGAATTCTACACTTGTAAAAGGAAGTAGAAGGTATATAGCGCTTCATTCCTTAATAAAGCAAAACTCTTAGAGAATTCGGCTAGAAGTCTAAACACAATAGGCACTTTGCGCATATGAATAAGAGGCAATATTTGACCAAGACCTATAATTTTGCTTAAAAAGTTAAATAGGATAGATTCGTAAATAAGCTCCAGTGGAAACCGAAGTGGGGTTGCATTGTAATTATGAGAGCAAAGAAGTGCCCGGCTCACCGCACCGACAACCCTTATTTGTGTAGAGTCTAAATATGTGGCACACACACACATATATATATATATGTATATATATAAATATATATATATATAAATAAATATTTATTTATTTATATATTTATATATTTATATACTGCGTATAATAAACACGAGATCAATTGGAAGACAACGGAGAAAGGGCCTCATCGTAAAAACACAAGGAAAAGGAAGATTATAAAGGCCATTAGCATCCTTGCGGAAATAAATTTAATGAAAGGGAGATTCGAGGAAGGCAGAGTTAGTGATAATTTCTCCTAGTGCCAAGACAAGCTCATAGAAAACAAGGGTCCGGGAAGACCAAAAAAATGAGATGTCTGGACCAAGAACCTCTCGGTAACCAGAATGGATGAGGAACATCTGGAAATCACGCGAATACGCTGGGCGAGGAAACAACTTTGAGAACATGGCAGTCACAGGGCTAGGAATACGGATAGTCACAACCGCCACATAAATTCGCAACTAGGGCCAAATTAATTAAGATTTAATGACCCAAGGAGGGCACGACATAGAATCGAGCATAAGTAGTTATAACTCAATTTCCTATCACTATTCTTCACATTCAACATATTCCTTAATCTATAAATTTCAATAGCCTCTTTTATCTTAATTTTAACAGCGGAAGTACCATAATCAGCAATTTTTTTAGTTTGATGCCATTCTATCTCTTGTCCAGTCTCTGTCATGTGTTCTGCCACTCATAAATGTTGGACCCAGCAATCTTAACAAACATTTTTGTGTTTGAGTCCTTACCCTGATTAGATGTTGGCTCCTTAAAGACTTTTTTTCCAACCAGAGCTACAAAACTAAGGTTGGAATCTTGAAGTCAATGATTATAAGGTGTATGCGAATAGCGGATAGTAACAATTTGCAAGATTTATTCCTGAAAAATAATTATCCTTTCGGACTAATTGATAATAATATCTCGTTACCGAGGGATAAATTTCCAGACGATGATTATTTAGTCAAAGATAGACAAGCTGATACCTTTTATCACGTTCGAATTTTGCCGTCATGCCTTTTTCTAAAAGTATGGGCGAACTAGTGAGGAAGGGGGGGATAAAAAGCATGTTCAAAGAAAGGTTCATACTTTCTTCGGTTATGCCATTTTTATAGAGAAATATGATTCATTATCGAGATCTGACTGCAACAAGATTATGTGCCCCCGTGGTCGACCTTAAGTTGGTGATAAATGCCGGCCTATTCGACAAAGACTATGCGAACACAAAAATACTCTTAAAGGAAGCCGGGTCCAACGGTCGAAAGTGACTGAACACAGGCCAGAGAATGAACACGATTGACAATTGTCTCAAATGAGTCGGTTTGCTGAACATGATAAGGGCCAAACTGTGTTGAGGGCAAACAGCAGAGAATAAGTGGTTTTTATGAATAGGCTGAGCTATCTATGAAAAATGATGCAGGCTCTAGATGGCATTGAGAGTAGAGACCCACAGAAACCCCTAAATCTAGACTCAGGAGTTTCCTGCAGTATTGCGTAACAAACGAGGAACTGGAAGAGTGGAAGAATAACACTCTTCTTTCAAAAAATACTAAGCCTCTGAATGTATATGGGCTACCCGAAATACATAA